ACCTAAATAAAACTTCTCTGTTGTGCTTCCTCATCTCCCTCCAGTCTGCCATTCCCCTGGCTCATCTACAACATCCTCAATGACTTCAAGCCGGTGGAGGTGAGCAGCAATGGCTTGTTCTGTGCCATCGTCCTCCTCTTCCTCATGCTCCTCTTTGTCATCATCTCCATCGCGGCTTGCAAGTGGAGAATGAGCAAGTTCCTGGGCTTTTTGATGTTCCTGCTCTACTTCGTATTCCTCATTGTCAGCGTCATGCTGGAGGACAAAGTCATCATCTGTCCTGTCACCATCTGAGAGCGAGCAACGCCCTCTGAGTATCCCAAAGCAGAAATTAAGCATAAATGCGCTCACGTGTACCGTGATTTACTATAGGAGTGAAAATAAACAGACACAAACTGTCTTTTATCAGTCTCACTTACATACACAGTAGAAAATGCGCACACACAGTCAAGTGACAGGTGAAAAAAAACACACACACCCAAACACACCCACAGTTGTGGATGCCAGTTAGGCAGAGGCACTGACCTAAATCAACGCTTAAAATTCAGACCGGTGCATCACAACTGTTCAGCAGTGGCATTCTACAAGTCTGTATATCAAAAATGGACTTAATGCCACCCAGTAGGAGGGACTCCTCTCTTTTGTACCATGTGACTACAGTCAGTAGCCGCTATTGGTTGAAACCTGAAGGACAACATTTGTGAACACCACCTCGATGGAAATTTGAATTGAAGATCACCAGAGGATGTTTTTTTTTTCTTTTTTTTTCAACTAAAGGACCGAGTGGCAGTATAAGAAGTACCTCCGCTACTCATGCAAGCAGCCAAGTTAAGCATATAAACTGAACATGTGGGCTTAAAGAGACTTTATTTTTGTGTTGTTTTATGGGGCCACAAAGCTCTGGAAAGATGCTGAATGTCATGGGGAAAAAAACAGAAAGGCCCAAGGCAACACATACGTGTGATAGCTGCTTTATATACCTTTAGATTTTAAATGTGTTCATTCCACTTCCTGTATGGCTTTGCTATGTCACTGAAAGAGAAATATCCAGTGTTAATAACTTGTGTTCAAAGACCGTATATTTGAGGACATATTTGGCAGAAATGGTTACTTTACATCCCATTCATGAATATCTATGATAGGATACATAAATGCTAAATAGTTACAATAGCGCATACACAGATAGAATGGACCTGAGATGTTTTATCGTGCTCAAAATATCCCAACTTTCTTGTTTCAGGTTTTTCATATAATAAGCTTGTGAGCATGATTTTTTCTGTCTGTTCTGTCTGCCTTTACATGCACCACTTTAGAGGGAGATTACTTTAGTATCCTGACTAAAACTGGATAATTTTGTGCATAAAAATGTAATAAACAAGTCAGTGTCACATTACCCAGTAGATGATGCAGTAGTCCACCACATGTTGCACTTGTAGTGCAACATGTGACCCGCACTTGTGCAGTTTCTTCTGTAATATTTTGATGTAAAACAACTCATGTACTGTATAACATGTTGCACCGCTATGTTCACATACTACTTTCTTGTGTTAAGCGTGTGACATAGAGGCTGAATTCTTAGGAAAAAATATTTTATGAAGCATCAAAGAGGCCCATAATTTTTTAAAACAAAAACTTGGGCTGCTGCAAAGACACAATTTGTGACATTTATATATTTCTAGTTTTCCTCTAATCCCTCTTTCTTTTAGATTTATGGTAAAATAATGCTGAGAAAAAAAGCATGTAACTTCACATCACTAGGGTCCTGCTGTATGGATAAATTTACCATAGGTTTCTGCCATTCAAATATGTATTTTCATCAACTAATCTAATAAAAAATTTCAGAAGAGGTTTCAAAAAAGATTGAACAACTACTAAGTAAGACAATAAAGAAGTGTCGTAACTCAAAAAATCTGTTTCCATTACCATTATTGCATTTTTTTTTCTTGGTTTTGCAAAATTCTAGCTGATTTTTTTTTTGTTGGGTTTCTTTTTTTCTTTTAATGAGAAAGTCAAACTGTCCTTAAAACAGGCAGAATGAAACATACCTTCTGATTTGAGCCAGATATATATTGGTGACCCATTAAACAGCCAGTGATAGTGATCATATACACATTTTGTCATTTCCTCATGTTCCACTAGCTGTCTATTCTGTGTGTGGGCTAAAAAAAATCCAGTGTTCACAACAAACCTTGGCTCTGAAAATTGGAAACAAAGTGCCCATGGATGTATGAAGAGAAAGGCAGCAGCCCTTTTTACACAGAGACTGCACTATAGGGCTGCTATGCAGTCCCTTCTTTACACTGCCTTTGCATTTTTACACAGAACCAAACAACTGCAGCATCATGCTGCTCCTGTGTGTGATGTTAAATAGCATGTTGGCATCGTGGAATCAAAAGAGGTGTGATGGGTGTGACATGTAATGCAACAGTGCTGACCTCTGTGACATGTAACATGTGCATCACCAGACCTTTATAAACAATAACAATGGCATACCTTGGCATCAACAGTCATTTACCGTCTCTGTTTTATGGCGGCTCTCTGCTCCCAGACCTCATTGTTTTCCCAAATTGCCATTGACATTGTCGGCCGCTGTTCTTCTTGTTTGAGTTAGCCGCTAACTGCTATAAGCTACCTTTAAAATTTCCTGCAGTGGATCGCATGCATAACTCATGATCAAAACGTCACACCGGTGCTGCCCATGATCCCGTCCTGCCGACTGTCCCATTTATACATACATCATATCAGCGCTGTTACTACCTCTGTTCCCGGCTCAGAGGCGAGACAACTCTGTCCCCCAATTCTGCGATTGTTCCATTTATATTGAATTGTGAGGCGGCACAATATTCCTGCCTTGAACAGGCAGTGTAAAAGGGGCTTGTGGAGGCAAGACGAAGGCTGACAGGAGGGGTGAATTTGTTTGGGTGACAGTCTTTCTCCAGAACTGCTCACTCCACCTTTTAATGCCTCACTGTCCCACCAAATGTGCTATCACTGGCGTTGAACCAACTGTTGCATGCTGAATTGCTTCACTGCCCTCATACGCACAATGTGTTTCCTTACGTCACCTGCTTTGTATATCAGATATATGAAGCACAACTTAATGTGAGCAATATTTATATTTCATTCTCCCAGCAATGTCCAACAAGCTCCATCAGTGTTGGAGAAATGTTCAATAAAAGTATGCAGTCTTATGCAGTACAAACTCGTAACAACAAAAAACAGTACCTGACCAAACATTTCTAGAGCTTATATTCTATATTTTGTTTCCCAAACATAATTTTGCATTTGTGTTTCTTTCAATTTACCACTGACATTTTTTTAGGTCACTGGATCTGATATTCCAGATTGCAGAACCAGTTTAAAACCCCCAAAGGGTTAAAAATCACATTTTGTGTTACTGTAAACCAAATCCATTTTTGTATTTGTATGTGGTCATAAATTGCAACTTTTTTGTCCAAGTGAAAATGAAAAGATTTTATCCTCCGTAAAAAATACTTAAATTATTCCCCGAATCTGGCAACGTTAAAATATGTTTCATTGTATGTTTATGTGTATACAAATTTATAAACTGTAATGTCAGACTGTATATAAGCTCCTGTGTGTATTCATAGTCAGCACGTAGTTTAACCTCGACACAGCTTCTATCGTCAGGCTCCAGACTTAGACTGTCTGCATAGTATGACCTCTAAATCGTTCTTGCTTTGATGGATCATGTGAATGTGAGGAATGTGTGCATGAATGAGTGCATTTAGAAATATCTGTAAGATTTCATCCTTCACCAGTTTGAATACCATGACAATGGTAAAATGCTTTTGTATTACCCTTGTATGTTATGCAAGTATGGAATCATATTCATGTACTACTTGAAATGTGTATTATACTGTAAAAACCATATATCATTCACCTCTGTATAAAGTGTTATATGATAAAATAAATGAAACCTCAAATTTTCATTGTTGGTGTTTGGAGTTGTTCGTAAATTTGGGTTCAGGTCTTCAAATGATTGCTATTATTATAGTACTGCTTTTATACAGAATAATTTGGTAACTGTGTAATTGCTGGGGTCACAGGACATTTTAGATCTAACAAACTACTTAAAAAGTCAGGTCACTTTGCCTCTCAAGCTCCCGATCAGATTTGCAGTGTCATCTATCAGGAAGTAATCTGCTTTACGTTGACACAAGCCTCTTACAGCAGCATGCATGGCCCGCTGCCATGACCATCATGATGCAACAGGGATTCAGTGGACACCTGTGGACTCCAATAAAGGACATGGTCACCTGTCTGCTTTCTATCCCTGTTTCTGCTAACTGACAACTGAGGACACTTACTCACTGCGCTGAGCCTGCCAACCAATGAGCTATAGGGACAAATTTTGTGTGTGTGCCATTCTCTCATATGAAAATGTCACAGTTGTGGGTAGGTTTTCTACATCCTTTAGGGAAGAAGATGAACTAGGTGAATCGATTCAAGCCATTATATCACCCTTAACTTAGTTTTGGAATCCATCAGCCATCGATCTGGCTACGATAAGCCTCAGAGGGCAACAGCCAATATTTTGGGAGATTCGGTGTAGCCGGCGGGCCAAGAGTTCCTCTTTATGTGCACCTCTCACTGTTTACAGTTCAAGTAGCAAATTGAGACAGGTCCAGACAACATTCTGTTCCACCTCTTTTGCTCTGCCGTTGGATTGGACAAACCGACTATGAACAGAAACCAAAAGGCTTCAGACAGCAAAATCTTATCCTGCTGCCGACAGATTCTGCATACATATATTCTAGCCATACATTAGCCTAACTGATTCCCAGAAATTACTTTTGCTACATAATTTTGTTAAGGATTTGCTGCCCCTACTGGCCAGTCAAGAGGAGTGAGGAGTCAGCGGTCAATAATAGTACAAAACATCCATCCATCCATTTCTGGTACTTCCTTTTCCCAACCAGTAGGTGGCAGCAACGCACCTACAGCTTTAAAATAAAAAAAAGAGAAGAAGCAACCGGAAGCACACAACAGTGGCTTTTGTAACAACAGTCCAACGCTGCACTTTGAATTGGACAAGACTCATCTTGTCTACAGAGTCATGTCTTTTATTTCTGTGTGGTGATCTCTGTTTGAGAGAGCAGCATGGATCTGTCAGAGTCTCAGGAAGTGGACGCTGCCGGTCCCGGACCTGAGCAGAGTCCTAAACCCGAGCTGTCTGCAGCGATGCGGGCTAAAATCGAGCGGAACCGGCAGCGAGCGTTGATGCTCCGACAAGCCCGACTAGCGAGCCGCCCTTTGTCCGCTATCGAGGGCGCAACTTCGGCCAAAGTCTCCAAGACCATCGACTCCGGTGCCGGGTTCTTCATCGAGGAGGAGGAGGACGGACAGGAAGAGCAGAGGACCAGGAAAGTTGTGCATCAGCCAGGTGTGTGTGTGCTGTGTGCTGTGTGTATGCATGCATCATGCCTATTTACAAGTGTGTTGAGTGTTTGTGTGTTTTGTTTACAGCTCCAGTGATTGAGCCAGACTACCTGGTGTGTGATGACTGTCAGAAACCTTTTATGGACTCGTACCTCAGCAACAGCTTTGACCTGCATGTCTGTGACAAGTGCAGGTGCGCGCGCGCGCACGCACACACACACACACACACACACACAACTGCAAGTATTTGTTGCAGGATATTATATAATACTTTTTCTTGCAACTTTTGTCCAAAGAAGTCATTAGAGCTTGGGATTTTTAGACTGTAATGATTCCCCCAATATCTGAAATCTCTCTTCCAAGATATGAATATGGTTGCAGCAGTATACCAGTTTTAAGGTATACTCTGAAATGCTAGTTCATGGTTATCATACCACCATTTTAAAAAATGGTTTCAAATTTTAATCATAGTAATTAATTGTTTATTCAACCAAAAATAACCCTTCAGTGTCATCCCTTTCATCCTTACTGATAATTATAATAATTGTTTAATACCTTGATAGTGTAAAACCACATATTTTCTGAGGTGGATATTGCACCATGAAAATCTCATATCGTTGCACCCTGAATATGAAGTTGTATTAGTTCAGTTCAGTTCAATTCAGTTTATTTATAAAGCCCAATCCCTCTGTCCTTTGGACCCTCACAGCGGATATTATCGCTGAGGGCCGTGTTTGATTATTACAAGACAAGGTTGTGGATAATATGAAATGTCTGTCAATAATATGTGGTTTTCATCACATCCTCAGTTTTTGTTTTCTTCCACAACGATATTCAGTTTACAGTCACAGAGGAGTAAAAAACCTCTAAGAAGCTGGATTTAGATGATTTTGATTTTTTCTGTCTTGAAAAATTATTTTAAAGAGATAATTGATTATCAGATTAGTTTGCGATTACTTCAGTTGTTGACAGCTAAGTGATTGCAACTGCTGATAGATCAACTGTTGCAGCTCTGTACAAGAGAACCAGCTGTCTTTGGTCTTATTCATCCTCAGGTAGTGTTAAAACTTATGAAACCTGCAGATACCCAGGGTTTGTTTAGTTTTCTGCTTCTCCTTAGATCATACCCAATTTTTTTTTTTTTTTTTTACAATTACATTGACTGAAAAACAATTAAATGGAGTAACACTGGAAGCTTCTCTCTTTCTCAGAGACAATGACGAGAAGCATAAGCTGATCTCCAGAACTGAGGCCAAGCAGCAGTTCCTGCTGAAGGACTGTGACCTGGACAAGAGAGAGCCTCCGCTCAGGTTTATACTGAAGAAAAACCCCCATAACCCTCGCTGGGGGGACATGAAGCTCTACCTCAAAGTACAGGTACTGAGTGAGTGTGTGTGAGTGCATGGTGTAGGTGTGTTTTTAGCTGTAGTTAAATCTTCACACAACAAATAATGGTTTGCTGCTGAATTCATGCTCTGAATATTGCATACAGAACCTTTACCTGTGAGTATGGCTTCTTTTCCTCTCAAGAGTTTTGTAATTTGAGGTTTAAGTCACTTTCATTGTCTTTTCTGTGTTTATATCTATTTTGTTTCAACATGTAACAACATGTAAGTTATCTGCATTATGAAAATCAATCAAAATAAAAAAAAAATAAAGGAGGCTTTTATTGCAGTTTAGTTTTAAACATGTCCCTGCGAGGTCAGATGTGTGATGATTGCTCAGAATGTTTAAAAAGCATTGAAAGAGGATAACAGAAATGGCTTTTCTTTGTTTTATGTCACTGTAAACTGAATCACTTTTGATATTGAACTGTTGCTCTGACAAAGTAAGATTTGGAAATGAGAGGCCTCGGAGTCTTGGAACATTTTACAGACTAAATAATCAAAAAAAAGTTGATAGATTAATCAATAATTTATTGAATAGTTAGTTGCAGCCTTAAATCAAAGCCACAAATAACCCCCGTCATGCTGTATGTTTTCATGAGTCTATGTGCACTATGTATTTGTGCCTGTTGGGGCACCCAGGTGGAGAAGAGAAGTATGGAGGTGTGGGGTTCAGAGGAGGCTCTGGAAGAGGCCAAAGAGACAAGGGAAGAGAACAGAGAGGTGCAGAAACAAAAACGCTTCAACAAGAAGGTCAAAGGTTAGTTTCCTGTTTCAGGCATAGTGTAAACATCAGCATTTGGATGCATCATATTGATAACGTCTGAACATGTGGATGTTTCATACTGTGTGTGTGTGTGTGTGTGTGTGTGTGTGTCAGAGCTACGCAGGGCGGTGAGGAGCAGCATGTGGACCAAAGACACCAGCGTTCACCAGCATCAGTACGGACCAGAGGAGGTGGTGGATCCAGAGGAGGACCTCTACAAGAAAACCTGCACCACCTGCGGACATGAACTCACATACGAGAAGATGTAGACACACACACACACCAGCACTGACTTTTACGGGTTTCATCTAAGGAGATGATGTTTGGTGCTTCTGTGGGGAACCGCGCCTCTCAAAATCCATCAGCTGTATTTTTTTGTCTGTTTTTCTACTGGTATTTATTAAGAAACCCTCCATCCCGATCACACACACACACGGGGCCAAAATCACTCTCCTGTCTGACACTTACAGGCTGTTATAGGTCTGTAGTAACTTCTATTTTAAACATTTGCTACTGACCTCAGCTTGAACTGTTGTATATTTTTAGTCTTTAGTCTTGCCTCTCTGGTCCGCGATATTGCTACACTTCCTGTTTCTTTTATAGAACATGGAGATTTCCTCTGATGATGGGCAAATTAAAGAAGACACAATACTGAAACTTGAAAATACCGTCTTGCGTAAAAAAGTGAATTGTGGGCCTGCTTTATGACTGAAACACAAATGATGAGTAAGAGTTAAAGTCCTCTACAGACTGAATCCTCACAGATTTTGGTCACATCTACCGCAATTTGTTCACTGTCATCACGTCTAAATGTTAAAACTTAACTTGTCATTGCTTTTGTGGCCTTATCTTGAGAGAGAGGATAAGGCCACAAACAGAAGTGGATGTAGCCATTGTGACATCACCCACTGGTTTGTTGACTCCTGTTTCAAAGCATCGAGTATGGAATATTGGTCGCTGCCATTATGTTTTCTGGAGCCAGAAGTGACCATATTCAGACGAGAGAGTGGAGCTGTGGAGGAGCGAGGAGATCTGAGAACCCGAGGACACCATGCACGCCAAACAACGTAGCCACAGCCTAAAGCAGTCCCTGCTTTATCATCTGTTTTACTCTAAATGAGACGAGAATTCACTAAATGAACTCTGTGCTGTGTTGAAGAAGACTTGAAACTGGCAATTGAGACCATAAACTCATGAGGAAAATGTTTACTGAAGAAATAAATCACGTGAGAAGTAGCGTCATTTTCTCATAATTTCACATTTCTTTTGTATCGCCTTTGCTATACCACATGAAAAAGTAATAACTGGATTCCTAATGTCTATACTAACCCTTGTACCAAAGAAGAGAGGAATATTTGCTTTGGACTCTATTTGCAAGGACATGGACTTGATACACTCGCTGTGTAACAAAGATTTTTCAAAAAACTGGCAGATTGTTTAAATAAAATGCTGTTGACAATAGAAATTTTAATAAAAATTAGGGTTAGTTCAATAAAACTTGATGGTATTTTTAAAAAGATACTTCAACATATTGTGACCGTCTCTAAATGGGGAATCGTACTTTATTCAGTCAGTGCTGCAATTATGTAACTCCTCACTTGTGTGACTTTGTGTGTTCTGCCCGAGAACCAGAACTGAATCATCTTTCACATTTTACAAACACAAGGCAGCTTGTCTCTATGAGATCCTATATGCCTTATAACAATAAACTTCATTTGTAAAGCACTTTTCAAAACACAGTTACAAAGTGCTTTATAAGACAAATAAAACAGTATACACCATCAAGATAAAAACAGCAATAAAACATTGATCATAGGCTAAGACACACAACAGATTTACTGTTAAAAAAATGCCTTCCTGTAAAAGTTTGTTTTGAGGAGTGTTTTCAACAACGACACTGAGTGTGCCAACCTAGGTTCCTCAGGTAAGGAGCTCCACAGCTGTGGGGCTCTGACGGAAAATGCCCAGTTTCCTTCAATCAAGATGTCATGAGATAAAAGCATGAAAAACTTTTTCAAGGTCCGCTTGAGATAAAAAAATGTTTTACTTTTAAAATGTTTGTAATTTGATGAAAGCACGATTGCACAACCTTGGTTATTTGTATTTCGAAACAGAGCTCAGAGTCAAAGATGACACCCAGATTGTGGGCAGAATGCTTTACACTGGAGGACAGGTTCCCAATGGATTGAGACACAAAGTTACGACTTCTTAGCAGCGTGGATTCTAATGTGGACTGTCAGGTGACTTTTATGTCTGAAAGCTTTCCCACATGTTGTGCAGGTAAATGGCCTCTCACCTGTGTGGATTATAATATGTCTTTTCAACACTGCTATGTCAGTGAATTTTTTCCCACAGGTCTTGCAAAGGAACGGCTTCTCACCTGTGTGATTTCTCATGTGGACTGTCAGGTGAGCTGTGCACATGAAAGCTTTCCCACATGTTTTGCAAGGAAACGGCTTCTTGCCCGTGTGGATTGTGACGTGTCTATTCAATGCTGATATGACAGTGAATCTCTTCCCACAGGTTTTGCAGAGGTACGGCTTCTCACCTGTGTGGACTCTCATGTGCTTTGTCAGAGTGGACACCACACAAAATCTCTTCCCGCAGATCTTACAAAGGTATGGCTTCTCACCAGTGTGGATCCTCGTGTGTACTTTTAAGTCACTGTGATGTCTGAAAGCTGTCCCACATGTCTTGCATGCAAATGGCTTCTCACCTGTGTGGATTCTCGTGTGCACTTTTAAGTCACTATTATATCTGAAAGCTGTTCCACATGTCTTGCATGTGAATGGCTTCTCGCCTGTGTGCGATCTCGTATGAACTGTCAAGTCGTTATTACGTCTGAAAGCTTTCCCACATGTTTTGCAAATATATGGTTTCTCACCTGTGTGGATTTTGTAGTGTACGTTTAATTTTGCCTTAAACTTGAAAGCTTTCCCACAAGTGTCACATTTGAAAGACTTTTTAGCAGTGTGAGTATTGCGGTGAATGTTTGACATGGTAGAGTTGTATACGTTGCTTTCATGGTGTTTTTTCTTGGGTTTAAGCTCTGCATTTCTCGTTGATCCTGAGTCTTCACGCTGGCTTCCTTTCTGTTCTTGGCTCTCAGCAACATGAGAGCTGTGAGAGAGGGGCTGGTGGTCACTGTGTGCTTCTGATACCACAGAGATTATCACTGGTATGTTGACAGCAGACTCTTTGTCTGTTGCGCTTTGAGAGTCGTCAGGATTGAAGTTCAGAGTCTGATCTTCACTGTGGTCACGTTCCTCACAAGGAGGACTCAACAGAAAGGTATCCGTCTCCTGCTTCAGTACAAGCTGCTCTCCTTCCTGACTGGTGCAGAGTTCCTCCTGTTCCTCTTTAATCTGTGGAGGCTCTGGGTCCAGACCGGAGCTCCTCTCCTGAACACAGAGCTGCTGGTCAGCTAGAACCTCCTCCTCCTTACAGACATGTTGATATGGGAGCTCTGCAGGGACACACAACAACAGCAATAGGATACAACTGTGATGGCAGAGAAAAAATGCAGACATGGGCAAATTAGTAGTGTAACATTATATTTAAGTAATTGGGATTATATACACTCACCAGCCACTTTCTTAGGTACACCTATAAGCTAATCAGCCAATCACGTGGCAGCAACTCAATGCATTTAGACATGTAGAAATTGAGCATCAGAATGGGGAAGAAAGGTGATTTAAGTGACTTTGAACAGGGCATGGTTGTTGGTGCCAGACAGGCTGGTCTGAGTATTTCAGAAACTGCTGATCTACTGGGATTTTCACACACAACCATCTCTAGGATTTACAGAGGATGGTCCAAAAAAGAGAAACTATCCAGTGAGCAGCAGTTCTCTGGGTGAAAATGCCTCGTTGATGCCAGAGGTCAGAGGAGAATGGCCAGACTGGTTCAAGATGATGGAAAGGCAACAGGAACTCAAATAACCACTCGTTAGAACCAAGGTATGCAGAAGACCATCCCTGAATAAACAACACATTGAACCTTGAAGCAGATACAGCAGCAGAAGACCACACCAGGTGCCACTCCTGTCAGCTAACAACAGGAAACTGAGGCTACAATTCACATAGACTCACCAAAACTGGACAATAGAAGACTGGAAAAATGTTGCCTGGTCTGATGAGTCTGGATTTCTGCTGCAACATTCAGATGGTAGGGTCAGAATTTGCCATAAACAACATGACAGCATGGATCCATCCTTCCTTGTATCAATGGTTCAGGCTGGTGGTAGTGGTGGTGTAATGGTGTGGGGGATATTTTCTTGGCACACTTTGGGCTCCTTAGTACCAACTGAGCATGGTTTAAACACCACAGCCTACCTGAGTATTGTTGCCGACTATGTCCATCCCTTTATGACCACAGTGTACCCATCTTCTTGTTACAGCACCTTTTACTTGTTAAATCTATGCCACCAAGAATTAAGGCAGTTCTAGGGTGACCATATTTTGATTTCCAAAAAAGAGGACACTTGGCCGGCCACAACATAGCCTACTTAAATGATACTCGCAGTTTACTCAAAGATGCCTTATAATTTTAATATATTTAAAATTTATATGTATGGATAGAAAATTCAGTTATATTACAAAATAATATCTCTCAAAGACAGAAATTCAGATAGGCCCCAATAGGGGACACATACACACACTAGAGTGTGGCGATCTGAGCCCGATGGGTCGGCCGGGTTTGGTCAAAAATGTAGCTATAAATTGTATTCGGGCTCGGGTCGGATTCAGTCAGCTTTCAGTGAAAATGTAGTGTAAAAATAAATAAAATCCTATTGTCTGTCCTGTTTATTGCTTGGACACTGTTATTTACGTGACAACACCTGAACATAACACACACAGACACACATTGGCTGTTTGTTTCTACCTCTCTCCTCGCTGGAAGTCTCGGACCTCCAGCCGCCCGCCTCTGCCTTGATTAAACGCTGAAAATAAAATAAAAGAGGGAGACAGGTTTTTCCTATTTTATCTTATTTTGTTTTATTTCTCCCTCTCCTCTCGCTAGAAGCTTCGGACCTCCCGCCTCCCGCTCTCGTCTCAAACACGGAGGTCTCCCTCTCCGCAGCTGAGCACGTCCGGCTGTTAAATAGCCTGTAACCACTGTGTGACACAAACTCAGTGCTTTGGTCATTAAATAATGTCCGGCTCGGTTCGGTTCGGACAGAAATATGCTGCCCGTGCCGCACTCTAACACACACACACAAACACACGGAAAACCGGACATTATCATCAGTTTATAAAAAACCCCCGGACGCCCCGGACGGGATGTGAAAAGTGGACATGTCCGGGCAAAAGAGGACGTTTGGTCAGCCTAGGCAGTTCTGAAGGCAAAGGGATCCAACCCGGTGCTAGCAAGGTGTACCTAATAAAGTGGCGAGTGTATCCCTCTGATTTGAGTTATTAACACAATTAAGTTTGACACACCTGTACTGTGTGACTCTGTTTCTGGTTTCCAAACGATGTCCAGCAGTCTGCGCTGCTGGTCGAGCTCCTCCTCGTACACGACGATGGTCCTTTTAATAACCCTGAATATTTCCTCAGCAGCAGCAGTCAGTCTCTCGTTAACAAACTCTCTCAGATACTCAGCCGAAGACATTGTTGTTTAATCACAGTTACGGTGGCTCGAGGTTTTACTCAAAGGCGAACCTCCTGCAGTTATCTCAATGAACCAGTGCAGATAACAAGCCTAGTCTTTTGTTTACTTCCGCTGGATGTTACACTCTTAAATTCCGACGGTTAAATGTGGGCTATGTGTTTTTGTTCCGCTTAGAGACTTCACCAAAGATACTGTATATATATTTTATATGTATGTTTATATTTTATATATATGTTTATCCACTGTCTTTGGTTTATCCACTGTCTTTGACTTCACTTAACAGAGGACAGAGGTGGCTGGAGTGTGACTTATTTTTTTAATCTTATTTTATTTATCGTTTTACCCTAAATCAATCACTAGGTTTGTAAAACCTGCCCTTTTATGTATACAAAGTTAAAAGTAAAAAGCTAAAGACAAAATCCTGCAGCTGAAAAATGTCTCGGTTTTTCACTCTTGCCATGCATGCTGGTTAGTTTGTACAAACAATTTATTTTTGGCCAGAGTTTAAATGAGATAGAATAAAGTCATGTAGATGACATCACTATTTTAAGATCAGATTTAGTTGTGTTTTTTTTTCTGACGGAAGCATTCGTTGCCCATCATGTGCCCAAGGACTGTTGAAAACATGCCTTTTAAGCCTGCAGGTTTGGTAGACATGTTTTAAGAATCAGCAGCAATATAAACATAATACAACCAACCACAATACAACCTCCCTTTAGCCAAAATAAAAATCTTAAGTCCCTTCCTAGTGCTTAAAAACATATTTGACATGCCTCTCCCTTTTTCTCACAACCCCCCTTCCCCCCCTCATAAATAATTATAAGCCCCTTACAATTGTGTCAGGGCTGTAACCAGTTGTTTTTTGGTATTTAAAGGTCCCATATTATGCAGATTCTTAGGTTCATACTTGTACTTGTGGTCTCTAATAGAACATGTTTACATGCTTTAATATTCTAAAAATACATTATTTTTATCATACTGTCTGCATGAATGTATCTGTATTCCCCCTCTACCCAAAATGTTCCAGTTGAGAGCCTGTCTCTGAAAGCCCCCCTCTCAAAGAAGCCCAGTCTGCTTTTATTGGTCAGCATTTCTGGGTCTTTCACATCTGCACTCTTGATATCTTTGCACCATCGTAGCAGGTGGAGAATGACTATAACAGCACTGTGTGTATGTATGTAATATAGGTGTGACATCACAACTTCACAGAAGCCCTGACAGCCTGTTTAAAGCCATTGTTTCTGCATATAGCTTGTGTGCATTTCTCTGTGGATTGAGCCTTTGATACTTTCCCAGTACTTACACAGCACCTACACCTGCCTAAGACAATATCTAGTATCATATCATGATAGATATAATGGCAAGTTATTACCCAGCCCTACTCATTTTCCCTTAAAGTGCTACAACTACAATTCCATGACAGCTGGGATAATTCAAGCTGCTGAGGAAGATCATGTGATTAAATTTAAATCTCCAGAACAGCTACTAAATGGACCTTAGGTTGAGATTGTTTGCTTCCAAAGTCAAGAATTAACTCTCAGTCTTAAAAAAATATAATTTTAATAAATTCAAGAAGACAGTGGAGGGACATATTGCCTGGAGGAGGCTACAGATCTTGTTACAGACATTATATTGGTGTAATAAACTTATACAGTGTTAAAATGGTACACTCCTGCTCCTGAACGGCTCCACATCCTGACAGTTGAGACTGCTGTAAACACCAGCCGTCTCAAGCTTGTATAAAACATCACAATGTAAATCATTCTCTCCTGACATGTCCACAGAAACTATATTAAACATCTCATATGGAGGAATCAGTACTTCATCCTCATCTGAGTCAAACTCTGAGTAGGTCTTGAGGTAGGCGCCAAAACACGTGTGGATCTCAAAGCAGGACCTCCGTCCAAACTGACGCAGGTTCTTGTTGAGGGAGCTGGAGGCGAACGAGCCGAAGCGCATAGTTTGTCCAACTTCCCCAGTGAAGAGCAGTTTGCTTCTGCGGTAAGTGGTGTAGCAGCTTCTTTGGTTGAGTTTAAGAAGCCGGATGGCGTCAGACAACAGGAAGTGGAGGGCGTGGAATTCAAATGAGGTCTTATAGGTAGCCTTCCCCCTGCGCACTGCCCGGTTTAAGTCGTCATATGACCCTGCTGTGTAGGCACACAGAGCCCTGAAGTGATTCACGGACAGCTGGTCATAGATGTCCTTATTCTTCATGGCTTTGAGGGCACACAGTTTTGTGTATGTGGAGTGCAGACCCTCCCTGGTGCTCCTGGGGAGGTAGTGACGTTTCACTTTGATCAGCATCTTGTGGGAGCAGCCGTAATACATGTCATCAACAGAGTCCGGAGACAAGCTCAGAGGGATTCTGACGAGTGTGGACAGACGTGATGGGACCTGTGCTGAGGCACCAGATGACTTCAGTGAGGAATTGGTGGAGGTGTTCTGAACATTTACAGGATCTGCAGACTCTAAAGGTGAGTTCACTGTAGCCTCCTGGGGGGGCGATGTCTCAGCATCCAACTTTGGGATGTCTGAGCTTCTCAACAGGGCATTTACGGTATCCTGCTCAGGCAACTGTAAAAACAAAAAATAGTTTTAAGAAAAGGGAAATTCATCTACTATATCTATATAAATTAGGACTCAGGGCTGCAACATAAACAGTCCTGTCTACTTCAGTTGAGGTTGGGTTCAGTTGGGTGCTTTTCATTATGCTACCTAAGGCTTCCAAGCATTCTCCCTCGATCCAGAAATCATTTCCCCCCGCGATCATGGAGGATCTTCCAATAGTTTAAATGCACCTCAAAGATTTGCAAGTAGAGAGGAGGCTTACAGCAAAGTTTTATATCTGTTTATATTCTGCAATTAAATGTTTTACACCTAATAAAGTTATATTTGAATACTTATACACAACAGAAAAAACAGGCATTAAGGCAGTATGTCGGAGACTTTAAAGGGACACTCTAGTACTGCACTGGACTTGCAAGGGATGGATTAAGAAAATAATGGAAGTAGAGGAGGCATGAATCTTCCTAGTATGGCTCAAGCTTAAAATTCCTGCATCCTATATCTCCCACAATGCAACTTGATAATTAGACCATCCATGTCTGGTAAATGCAGATGTCTTACAAACTCCACGCTCCCAGTTTGTGACATGGAGTTTCTGTTATAAATCTGTAGTCTCCGAGCCCCAAGCTCCCTCCAGCGCTACAGAAGACATTGTACAACTTTCACAGGCTAAGGAAAGACAACTGACCTTTGTGTGTAAATCTTCAGTTTTCAGATCCCTTTAAAACTACTCCTTTATCTTGGTATATTAATTTCTTTGTTACCTGGTCAAAATGTTGTTAAGGAGGCCATGACGCACAACCTTGTTATTTCTAAAATCCGGCCCAGAGTGAGACCAGGTCGTTTTTCCATATTTGCAAAACTGAACTCAAACTTCTGCCTCTCACATTTCTGATTTAAAACATCACTGAATGGCTAATGAACATGAGATCACACCACAGGATTTTCTGTTTTTTGAAAGTTTGGGTATTTCAGACTTGTGTTTGAAACTACTGAACCAGCGAGGCCTCAGCATCAATGCATAAAACACTTCATAATTCCAGAAACTATTACAATATTGTAACATCACTTGATATTAGTGGCATGTTACTGTATGTATCAGTTATCTTACCATCTTTGCATTCAGAGGTCTGATCCTCACGCAGAGGCAGCAGAGGACAATAAACAACATCGCGTCCTTCATCATGATTGAGAATACCTAAAGAAAAAAGAAAAAGGCATTTGGTGTGTCTGCCTATTATGGTACATACCTCTGAGGGAGTTGTTTAAGTGAATAGTAATGTATTATAAAACCATTAGCACCAGAGACATTTTCCCCCCCAATGATAACTTTTTCATCACTATCACCAAAAAACTTAAAGCAACATTTTTCACTTGTGTCATGTCCCAATTGTAACATTTACTCACAACATAATCAATACACTAAAAATAAAACAAACCATCTTAAAAAAAATAATAATTTAATTTGATCTTACCGGGTAACAGTGCAGCAAGTACTGGTTGAATCTCGTGCCAGTGCGGTCTCAGGTCTGTGTGATGCGAGCCATCTTTTCTACCATCAGAGCAGGGGAGGGGCCAATGCAACCATCCACTCATGTACTTGCCAAGAATTTCCACAGATATTTTTAGACAGCCAGCAAAGCCCATTTCCTCCAAAAGATGGAAGTTTCGAGGTTAATGGGTCAGCCAAATTTAAATTCACCCAAATTACAGAAAAAAACAGTTTTCTCTTAAAGTGGGATCCACCCATGCAGATAGTTTTGTTTTTACTTGCACAGGTTTTGAGATACACGTGAGAAAATGCTGTCAATAGTTTCTATCAGTCATACTGTCTACAGCAGAAATGGTCAGAATGAAAACTGCTGATAGTGTAATGAGGACAAGTTAAGTGGCAGTGCATTTTTGAGATGTGACTTAAATGCTATGAGCACCACAAACTATATTCCATTCACATCCACTGTACTGAAGCAGCAGCAAAAATCTCAGATGTAATAAAACCTTAGAAAAATCTGCATAGCTAGATACTGCCAGAGTTCAACAAGTAACTTTCATTGGAGGAAACCTTAAAGACATAAGGTCTCACAGTTAATTTAGACAGTCTCTGCACACAAAAACAGGTCAATTATAACCCAATTTGGATTAACACAGAACTGACCCATTGTGGATAAAGATAATATACCCATGGGCATAAAACCCACTGGGTCACCGATCACACCCAAAATGGGTGATTTGGACCCAGCTTTAGAGTTATATTATTTCCATTGGGTTATTCAACCATACCAATATGTGGTTATTATTTATATTTCTGTTGAGTCAAATTAAATACTTTTACCCAATGTAATGTTATTTTTAATCTTCATATTGTTTTTTTTTTTTTTAAGCCTTGTCACATGTCAATGTTCTTTTACCAAAAAAAAAAGGGTTGTTCTTTCTACCCAGTATTTCTCATCTTTATATCGGGTCATACAAACCATAGTATGTGTAATAAAATTTCAGTGTTAAAAAAAAAAAGCTTTTTACAAATCTTACTGTGAAACTGCCAGATTTTACGTAATATTAAAACCGCAAATAACATGTGACACCACATAACATTCAGTGAAGACTGCAATGAAAAAGTCTTCACTTTAAAGTCATCTGATTGTGGATTATCTCTGAAACAGTTAAACCACAGCTTATAAAATTCAAGACTTAGTGTTTATTTAATTTTACAACTAATAGTTATTGTATACTCAATACAAAATTTTAAAAAGTATTTTTAAATGCGCAGTACTCCGTAAGACGACTGAGCTATAATGTATGATGGCAAAACCTTTTGCACAATACAAAAAATTCAAATGCAAACCACACCTAGCTTTTGAATAGCTACTTCTAATATATTGTGTGGTCATGAGTAAGCATAGAGTTTCCTTTTTTACTTGTAAGTGAAATAGTGAGGTTTGCATTTCATCAACGAGGAAGTCAAAACTGAAATCCAAAGAGTCAACAAGAATAGCCACTCTGGTGAAACACATGTTTAACCAAGTGAGGATTTTGTTTGGGAAGTCCCTTCGACTGCTTGCCCAACTGCCCTTCATCTTCCAAGTCTTGCTCAGGAATTGTGTCAGCAAATTCAATTTTTCACAAGAAATTCATATTTTTTAAGATGTTATTAGAAAATGCAGTTCAGTTTAACTGTCCTGCAGAGGTGGTAGACCAGGGTTTATTCAGCTACACAAAGTCATTGTGAACCACTTTGATAGAATAAATATTCTTTAAATATATTTTGTTGGCCATTTCTAAGCCATAGATCATGTGGCTTTTATACAGGCCCAATTAAATTTTGACGCAATCATTAATAATGCAATGGCTAAAGATGCAAATATACTTAACAGTAAATGTTTACAACCTTTATTTATTCTTCAACATGAAATATCAAACAAATTAAACATACAATAGTTGCGTTTAAAATTCAAAGGAGCGCTGAACATCAGGGGTCTTAAACACAAATGCGTCTTCTGTACTGTCAACCTGGACTCCCACAACCTCATCCTAGGAGAGAGAAAAACTTAGCAGATTTCAACACTGCAAATAAGACATTTATGTTCGAGCCCTTAAATGTTAATATTGAAGCTTTACGCAAAGTTTTCGATTAATTTTAAAAATGTACCTAGATGTTGTCAGTACATCAAACCTTAATGTACTCTAAATATTAATGCAGGGAATTTGGCTACTTACGTCACCAAAGTATTTTTCTATGAGGCTATGAGCAGCCTGGTACACCATATCATTGTCATGGTTCTGCAGCATCTCGATTTGGTCCAGTCCTCCCAGCTCTTCAACCAACAGGCTGAGTTTCTCCGTCTCACCGAGCTTCTCCGCCGCCTGGAAACACGTACAGTCACTGAAACTATCTCCAGTCTGCCCATTTTAAATTCTGTCACGTTTTAAGATAATTAGGCACAAACACGTTGATCAGTTTTTCCCCCCCTCACCATGAACATGTTGTTGATGGCATCCAGTATGACCAGAATGACTTTAGCATCTTTGACCTGCAGTAGGTTGATGATCGCCTCCAGGGCCCCACTCTGCACCAGTTGGACTACCTGCTCCACAGTGCCCCCACTGGTGAAGTTGGTCACTGCCCACACTGCCTCCCTTTGAGTTTTGAAGTCTCCCTGAGAAAAATTGTTCAGCCGACATTTGTTGTGGTCTGGTGAAAACCGTGAAAGTAACCCCTGCTTGCTTCTCCATTGCAAGACCACAAACATAAATATGGACCAAAAAAAAAACCAAAAAAAAAAAAAAAAAACACACACTTACAGTATGTTCCTGGACAGAAAAGGTCCAGAAGGTCATGCTTGTTCTACTCACATTTCTGAGCTGTTCCACCAGAGGAGGGAGCAGGCCACAGGTGATGAGCTGTTGGATTTGCTTACTGGGTCCTGCTGCAATGTTTGACAACGCCCATGCTGCCTCCTTTTGCACACTGGGCTTCGGGTGCCTCATCAGTTGTGGTAGAGCTTTCAGAACTCCAGCATCGACGGCCACCTGGGTCTGCAGGTCTGAGCCGCTCACTATGTTCCCGATTGAGCGAAGAGCCGGGGTCTAGAGGACAGACAGGTAACTGATTAACTTTAATACAGGCAGTCAAAGGGCAGTGAATAAAATTCTGGTTGATGACCCAACTTGAAAACAAGGTTTAAAAAGGTAAAATCTTCAAGTGGCCATTCTGAGGTGCTACTTATACAACACACAACATGTAGCATTACTGGAGGCTCACTTATGCTCAATGTTAGATATGTATATATTGACACAGATGGCACCATCTGTTCGTACTCTGCGTTTATTTTGTCCACATGTTCTAAAAGATTATGGATACAGACGAAACGTAGTACTGTTGTTGGAGATTATGGGTGTGGTGTAGTGAAGTTCAAGCAGATGTGACTGATGGATATGAAGACATTGTAAAAATGGCACACTAAACAAATATACAATATAGGGAAAAGAAACGTCCTCATGGTGCAATCAGGACCCCAGGGAAGTCGCTCAGCATTGCAGCAATTTTTTCCCAGTGGTCACGTAATATTGTGGCAAAAAAAAAAAAAAGCAAGTTGGCAGCATACTACAGAAGTAAACCCGAAGCTAGAAAATCTATGAACGCTGCCTCTAAAAAAGGTACATTACAACCTCCTCTGTCCCCATATTTGTTATCAGAAACATGACTCTGCCCTCTAATGGATGTATGCCAACATAAAGTACTCATGGATGTATGGAGGCAGTTACAGTTACAGAGAATAACTGAGCCTTAAGGAAGTGGCTATCTGGTCATAGTCAGTACGTTTACATGCACAGTTTAATTCCACTTTTAATCGGAATGAAAGGCCATTCCGATTAAAAGTGGTCATGTAAACGGTCATTCCGATTGAAAATTAAATCTGATTAAAGGGGGTGGTTTATTCTGTTCGTCATTCCGAATGAAAGAATTTTGTGTGCATGTATACACTCATTCCTCTTTAAGTACATTCCGGTCTTTCTGCGCATGCTCGTTTCCTTGCCCTTCTGGCGCGATGACGTATATAGCGCGCATAGCAACGGGCTGCATAGCAATGGGCTGAGATAGAGCAGTCAGACTTGTTGCACTCACCGGTTTCCATTCGCCACAGCACGGTCTTCTGTCTCCCTTCTTCGACCTTCTACCTCCCTTCTCCTCCTCAACAGATGAAGCATTAGCAGAACAAGGTTGTTGTCGTACTGCTGCTTCAAGAATATAAGCATAACACGCCCGAAAAAGGCACTAAGAACGGCGTCGTCAAGCATCTTGTTATCCGGAGCGAGGGCTACAGTGTTTTCTTCCGGTAAACGTAAACACGTAACATCCGCCCCGCCCCCTATCCAATCAGAAACGCTCCCTGGCCCAAACCTTGCACAGACCTGAATAAAGACGATTGAACTGATCTATGTAAACCCTCATTCGGAATGAATATTTCCCATGTAAACTACCTGGAAAAACTTTAAGTCTGAATGATTTCATTCAGATTTATTTCATTCCGAATGAGAAGCCATCATGTAACCGTAGCCACTGTCTCACATGCAGGAATGTCAGATCTTTGTTCTCATACATGGCTCTCCTTGTTAAGTCCAGATTAGTTAAAGTTATGGTGTGTGCTAGAATACTTAGGAAGGTTGAATAATCCAAGACCACCCTAC